TTTTTTGCTCCAAGTCATAGTTAGGCACCTTGAACTCAGTTAGTAAAGATGATAAAACATGATGAGATGATAAAGGTTTCACAGACAAATCATCGGCAACCACGAACGTGGTTCCACCCTTAGCATATCCATTGCCTGATGTTTCCCCAGCTTTTGTAGACTTAGGATCGCACATTCTTACTTCCCACACAAAACGGTGAACAGACCAAATTGCATCGGCAGTCAAATAATATGGATCATCCAAAAAAGGGGAATTATCACTATAACAACTTAACTTTGACGGATACTTCAATTCATCAATAGGTAACATCTGGTTACTCGCGTTAAAATATGGGGCTACCTTCAGGCTGGCGAACACATTGTTCATCTTCTCCGACTTCAAATGCCTGGTTGAATCAAAGTTGCTCAAACTGCTATATAAGTTATCGACACAAGCCAACCCAGAGTTTCCTTCTAAAACTCTCTCTACAGCTCCCAGCGGGAATGTCAAGAAGCAAAGAAGTTGGTCCATGAAATCTTCCTCAACTTGAGCAAACAATATCTTGGATTTCGATTTTGACATCAATACATTCATCTTCATTAGCAGCCCAGTGCTCCCTCCGCCTTGTCTCTCATCAGTTATCTTCGACGAGAGTTCGGAATGCACGAGGTGGTACTCTTTTCTTAACAATGAATCTGTGAGTGCCGTCTTCGAGATCAAAGAGCACTTCAGTAGGTCCAAAATCTTTGAAAACATAATAAATGAAAGCATCAGGTGATGTGAGAGTAAAGAAAATAAGACATAATTAAGGTTTCCAGAACTCAACCTCATTTGAACTCAGAACCATAGTGGATTCCTCCAGTGGACCTTCAGAGCGTAGATTTTTTAGCAGACAAAATATTGTATTCAAATTAGCAGGAGTTATAGATAGATCGTCAGAAATAATAAAAGATGCAGTCTCCTTTACATAGCCTTCCCATGTATTATCTGTATTTTGGAGTAGGTATGAAAGAAGTAATATTAATAATCGAATCAAATATGGTTTTTTTAATAAGGATAACAAAAAATGTAAAATGCAGTGCAATTATTACCTCCAGCGTCACCACTCCCGTTCTCACAGGATCCACTTAACAGAGGACTGCATAAGAGCGATTTGCAAGCGCTCAGAGGGAACGTAAACTCCCGCCCACATTTGCATTTGATATTCTTGAAAGTACTCACCAGAGAACCTCGTTGAAACCGACAAGCTTCACAAACATAATACTTGGTTGGCACAGTGTCATCAACGTTGAGTTTGAGGTTTTGATTATAACGTTCCATGGAGTTCCTTGGCTGAAGCAGCATTTGCTTGCATGTCTCTGAATTCAAATACAGGGGGTCCAGATTCCCCACACTTTCATACAGTGAGCTTATTCATCCAAATCGACAAGGCTTCGTGGTTGAATCCTTACTAACAAGTCTCGCAATAGTTCCCAGTGGCAGTGTCAAGAAGTTTAAAAGAATATCCACAAAATCCTTCCCTGCTTCAGCACAGAGCACTCTGTTTTGCCCTTTGTCCACAACAACTCTCAATGAAATTTGTCCCGGTATAGCAGTTGAAGCCATGGGAGCAATATTATTAACCCACCAGATCCAGCAAATGCTTCAGAAGCAGTAACGAGGACGTAACCTATTTGAATTTGGTGTGCGTTTGTGTGTGTATAGCACACAAGAAGATATATAGAACCTGTATTGGAGAGTGGCTCTCGTTATGGAGGTTATGGTTATGAACAATGGCTCTTGAATTATTGGAAACAGATGATATGACCAAGGCTTTGTGACTCCTTCCTCTTCAACTTTCAATTAGGCTTACTCGTTAAGTAAATGCCTGCACTCTTTTCAAAGTCAACAGGTTCTTGCCTTCGTTGCTAATTTAAGATTTTTTGTTAAATGCCTTTTTCTGCCCATCTTCGCCTCTTTAGCTCTCCTCCAGAATTTTTAGGGGTTGCAGTCAAGTATGCACTTATAATAATCGATGAAAATTAAAATTACCTGAAACGTGAATAATATTAAATAATGATACTATATATTTAGTATAATATAAATCTTTTCATCACATTTTTAAAATATATAAATCATGTTTTAAGTTGTGCTCGCGGATATTACAAGACATGAAAATCACCCATCGTCATATTTGTTTAGAATTTTATTAATATAACCATAATTATATTAGTGAGAAAATCATCTTACATTTTTGTTTTAGAAAAGATTAATATAATTTTTAGTTCCTTAAACTTGTTTTCATTTTGATTTTAGTCCCTCAATTTTTAAACCACAGCTTTTAGTCCTTCAAGTTTCTTTTCATTTAAAATATTAATACATATAGTTCAATACAAACTTGCACCATTCTCCCTTTTGAGAGAACAAAACCTATAATTTGAATTTTAAATGATTAAAATTAAAATAAAGGCAAACTTGATAAAATAAAAGTTATATTAACTTTTTTAAAAATTACACACTAAATTCAACCCATATCCTATGCCTACCAACGCAGCATATGGTAAATTGGTAATATCTGAACCCCATTAGACCGTATATATTTTTTCGGCCAAAACATTGGACCGTATATATTGAATATTGAATTTTTTCATATATTTCACTTCTTCCTTTTTTTTTCTGCTAGAAATATGTTATACTACATATTATAAAGCAAATAATAACAGGATAAAGTGCTTAAATGCCTCGAAAGTATTCATGTGGATTTCTTTTGCTTTTATATACCTAGAAAGTTTATTTTCGTAGCAAAAATACATTAGCTATTATCCGCCATAAAGTTTGATTGTTAAATTATGCAATATGACTAATGTCCATAATAGTTAAAATTAACGGCGGATAACAATTCAAGATAGAAATGCTGTGAAATAATAATTTTCAAGTATATAAGAGTGAGAAAAAATTTTAGGTGCTAGATGCTCATTCTTAAATACTTCAGGATAATTAACTACCTTATCCTAATAATAATTTATTCTCAGAAAGGCAACTAGATGTTAATAATTCCATAGGCATTGTGCTGAAACCTTTCAGAACAATGTGAACACATTATGTTTCATTTTGTGGAAGAGTGAAGAGCAGTTTACTCTTATTTTGGTACAGTAAAAATATTCATGTATCAATTAAAATTGATTTTCTTCTCAAATGAATGTAAGAAATCAACCTTCATTTTATTCCATTTTTAAGAAAATCGTTTGTCTTGTTGATTATTGACGAGAAGGTCACTTTTTAAGCTATAACTATTAAAGGCTAAGTTTAAAAAGTTGTAAATTTTTTTAATATTTAGTGAATTTAATTAATTTATTTAATCCTTAAAAAGGTAGTTAATATGATTTAATAGAAAAGACCGGAGAGAGTAGTTAATTTTGAAATTAAAAAAAAAAAGAGAAGTATGATCCAGCTTGCTTCAACTTCTTACAATATTTAGAAATGAAAATTAGTCCTCCCGTAGTAATCACCGTATATTTCAATATTATCATTTTTTATAATTTTATTTTAATATGATCATGTTTGGGTAGCTATAATCAGTAATAGGAGTATTTCCTTCGGCAAACCGCATATCGCAGTAATCATAATTCTTTAAAAATAAAGTCTTGTAATTTGCTTTCAACTTTTTTTTAAAACTTTTTTATCTTTTTCTTCCTTCCTTTCCTTTTCTTTTTCTTTTTCTTTTTTGACTCCTTTTTGTCAGAGAATTTGCTTTTTCTTTTTCTTTCTTTGCCAAAGAGAATTTGCTTTCTCAAGTTTTGAAGAAATTGATTCTTCTAGGTCGACTTCATTTAAATAAATAAGAAATAAATTAAGTCAATTATTTTTAATAAATAGGTGTTGCTTTCCTAAAATGTTCTTGCTAATTAAGTATATTCCTCTTTAGCTCTTCTTTGGTAATTACAATAATTGAAGAAAAATAAAATCACCTAAAACAGGAAATAAATTATGATATACTACCTCTGTTCTTTAAAATAAAAACTAGTTGACTAATTTAAGTATATTATAAAAATTAGTTAAGTTAGTTATCGTTTCTTGAACAACACTAAAATTTTGAAAGAACTTCTTTGGATTAGCATTAAACGATGGTTGAAATTAATTTCCATAGTACCATGGTTAAATATAAAAACTAGTTAAAGATTGAATTTGATTTTAAATATAAGATATCGATTCACTTTGTTTCTCAAATTTATAATATTTTCTCTAAAATATTCTCATTAATTGCAAGATGTTCTCACTAAAAGATATTTTTAATGTACATGATTAAATAGGATAATTTAGAGAAGGCAACACAAATTTATTATATTAACTAACATCGTATATTTCTAAATTCTAAGTGCCACAGATTAGAATAGAAACTTCATTTTCCGGGCTACACTTTTTACATGGTAAAACATGCAAACATTAATACATACTTGGAGCAAGTGAACAATATGTTTTTCATTCAGGAGCTGAAGTCTTGGTTTCATGCTGCTCCTGAGGTTGTGGAATCAGTTGGCACTACAGGTGCAACTTGGGCCTTGAAAGTTAGTGATCAGAATGGAGAAGGGAATATAAATGCTATTTTACAGGAAGCCTCTACAAAACTCATGTCGAAAAGTCAAGAAAAAGTGACTGAAGCAGTAAATAAATATTGAAACAGAAGCTTTGAGAAAGGGAGAATCAGGCCCCCAACAACATTGGACTCCCCATGGGGACCTAACATATAATCTTAAGCACGTAGCACTTGTATTCACAAACATAGAATATGTCTGTATTATTTGGGCATTTTTTGACACGGAAGAGGAGATAGATAGCCTGGACCTGCTATTAAAGAGTTCACCAAAAGCTAAATTCAAAATATAATTTAAGAAATTCAATTCGGTTCCATGATCAAATACAGCAATTACTATTCCGTAACAAAACAGCATTATCATCATATCTCACAGCTCAACTGGCTCCATATTTTAACCTAAATATGAAAATGACTTCTTCATCTTTTCTTTTACTTTTCCTTTTCTTTTTAGCGCAAAAACGGATATTCATTTACTTCGAAACTGTACGAATAAGTAACTGGTGGAACCAAAATAACATCTAGATCAAAATGGTGGGACCAGAAAGACATCGCCAGATTGAAAGAGAAATCAGCAATACTACGTTGGTCTGGGGAAGAAGGTTTTGCGAAGCTTTGCCTTTGTGGAAGGCCCTTCTTCACTTGCCCTGCAAGGACACAGGATCGAGCAGGGTATCAGGATCAAGACTAATTAAAAAAATCAATATATTAATAAAATAAGCACTTATTATTATTATTAACATCTGTTGGAATGAACTGAATAATTTTCCTTTTAAGTCTTAAATGATCAATTGAATTTCAAACCTTACAATCAAATAAGCCTACGATTCATATTGACTCAATTAATGATATTAATATTTTTGCACACTAGAATATTGCTATTTTCGTTGTTTTTGTAATTCGTCATTGCTCTTTTTGGGTGGATGTTTGTCTATATATATTCTAAAACAATTTTTTGCAAGTCCATCCATCCGTCTTAATTTCTTCTAATGTTCAACCACCTTAGGATCCCTGTATCTTTCTAGTGTGAAAAGGGTCCAGGAAAGAGAGAAGGAAACAAAAATTTCAGGAGAGATTAAGGGTTCCTACTGTTTAACATACAAATGGTGGAAACAAAAAAGATCATCAGCTTGAAAGAGAAATCAGTTAACCTTTTTTCGGGGAGGATGGGTTTATAAACCTCCTTTGGCTTTGAGGAAGATGGCCTTCGATAATTTGCCCTACAAGGAGACAGTCAAATAAGGTCTCTTCATTCTGCTAGAGTACATACACATAGGAGCTCACACCATCATATGCAATATTATTCAATCATGTTCAAATATGAATGCCATCATAATATAATGACAAACTAAAAATGTATTCTGTTTTACCTGTTTAGTTCAACTAGTGCTCTCCCCTGAAAAGAGAGCGCACTAGATAGACAAGGCTTCACATCAACAGGTCGGTCTCTGGCTGCAAATATTATTAGGATGAGCTCACGCAAAATTATCATTTTTAATGGAACTAATATGGTCAAAACGAAACCCACCATGATATAATACACCAGAACGGCAGATTTTAATTGGCGTATAGTAAATCAACTCTTGAATTGTTCTCAGAGTATCAAGTCCTTCTACAAGCTTCCCAAATACCACATGCGAACTGCAAAAGATTCCAAACAACAGAACTAGTGTATTATGAATTGCTACAATGCAATTTTGCACACCGGACAGTTTACATTCACACCCCAACCGGTCATGAGAAGATGAATAAAATGCAAGATTTAGAGTTAACCATCTATGAACCTGTCAAGCCTTGGATCAGCTTTCAGTGTGACAATAAAATGAGAACCAGAAGCTTTTTGATCACGTCGGCACATGGATAGGAGCCCTTCTTGGTCATGCTTAAGCTCATTTGACTCAACTGAAATGAATCACAATAATTTGAAACTCTATTAATCAAAATAAATAGACAAAAACATTTTGAGAACTTTTTAAAAGTGAATCCTGGATGTAGCATTCTCACCTGGGAAGCATGGACCATATATGCTTTCTCCCCCTTTCCCTGCAAAAAGATTGAGAACAAGACACAGGTGTAAGAGTACATATTACATTTAGGAAGGAGAAGTGATTAGTAAGTTTGGAAATTATAGCAAACTGGGCATCAAGCCAAATGAACTTAGCAATTAGCATTGTAGTTATGAAGAACCTCATAGTACTTAATCAATAGTGTTGAGAGGATCGTTTAATGAAGAATTTATCAAAAATAAAACATTATTTTATATAAATTGACGATTTAATGTACTCAGTAGTGACTGTTAAAACGTAGGATTTCCAACAGACACACTATTTAAGCACCCATTTAGAAATACATCTTAGGCGACAACATTTTCATGAGGGAAGACGATCCAGCTAAAATCCTCAATTGCTGATCTTTAATTCAACCCTAATATTTAGGGACCGAAATGATTTGAAGACAAAGGATACAAAATTTACTTAAAGTTGATATATCAATATCTAATATAAAAGATATAACAAGACCCATTGTTCCCAAGCAATGAAAATCTTCAAATACAATGATACGCCAAAAAAAAAAAAAAAAACAAAGAAATCTACTTTCATTTGATTATAAACAACAAAATGTGATAACTGGTAAAAATAATAATTTCATTCATAGATGAATTGCTATGGAAATAAAGAATGATTTTAAGAAGGTTGTTGATTCAGCTGAGGGTGTTGGTAGCCGACCTTTAACAGCCACCAAGGCATCATGTGTACTGGCATGGAATTGTCAAGGGTTAGGGGTTCCTCGACAGTTAAGAATTTAGAAAGTGTGATTTACACTAAAAAATCCCTAATTGCGTTTCTGATGGAGAATAAACAGAGAAAGATGGTGGTAGAGAGGTTGAGAAGGAGGTGTGGGATTAGATGAAGCTTAGTTGAACCAGAAGGGAAGAGTGGTGGTCCGGGTTTTTATGGTGGTATAATGCAATGAAGTACTGTTTAGCAGTAAAAATTTGATTCATGCTCGGGTTGTTTCCGGGAAATTTGAGATGCCTGGCTTCATAACATTTGTTTATGGCCCTACAGAAGAAAGGGAGAGAATGAAGGTTTGAAGCAAGGTAAAGGAGCTTGCAAGAGAAGTGGTGGGTCCTCGGTTATGCTTGGGAGATTTTGACAACTCGGCTTCACAAGAAAAGAAAGGACGTAGACCAAGAGCAATTAGGAAGATCACTAACTTCCAGCAGTTCATAGTAGATTGCGAGTTTACTGATATGGGGTTTCAAGGGCTGAGATGTACTTGGTGTAATAAAAGGAGGGATGGGGATAATATAAAGGAGAGAATTGATCAGGTGCTTGCTAATATTGAGATAAGAGAGAATATTAGTTGACTTGCAGTATGAGGGAGTTAGAGCACCAAGGAACTTTAAATTTGAGCAGGCTTGGATTGATCATTCTGAATACAGTGAAGTAGTGAGGAGTGCTTGGGGTATGGGTATGGATGGAGTGAAAGAAGCTATAAAGCGTCTGCTTAACTGTGAGAAAGCTTTAATCAAATGGAGTAGGAGGTTTCCAAATTATAGAAAGTTGGTTGTAACTTGATTTGTTCGGTGATTAATAAAATGGATTAGTGTTTAGGTCCAAAAAAAAATAATAATCATTACATCCATAGAAATCCACTAAATGTATTTCTCAAGTTACAAGCTTCAGAAAGCAGTCTATCCTAAGGTCAATGCATTGAAAGAAAACGTACCAGTTTCCCAGCAAAAACCACCTCCCTGCAAGAGGAAAAGTAGCATCAGTATATAGTCCTGATGCCACATTGCTAAGAAAACTGTTTTGGGCATTAAAAAGCCTATGTATCATGGACAACTTAGTAAGCATAAACTTAAAACTATATCGTTAGATACCTTCACATAGGAGCTGCCTTTCTTGAGACGATGAAAGTAACAATGTTTGTACTGCAGTATCTTTCCCGTTTTTGGACTAGTTCCCTTTTCTCCTGAACAAAGAGAAGATGAAATGAGGATTGGGTAGACCACATCATAAAACACAAAATTCAAAGTCAGTTAACACGCCCAAGGTCTTGTTCAATTAGTAAGACTGTAATTGCAGTATAGGAGGGTTCTACTAGGGATATTAACGAAATCAGATTATTACCTGTACATAGAGCACGGAAATTTTCTGCAGTGAAGGGAGCACTGTCATAGAGTAGCTGGGGCAATGGAAGAATTCATTAGTTTGCATTTATATTCACAGTCAACGTAGCAAAATTTAAAAATAAAATAAAAACTCCATGTATGATCATTGTAATTCAAAAGTGCAAAAACAAAAAGGTACCTCAAAAACCATCCTTTCATGGGGGGGCGAACATATTTCAACATCCATAAAAACAGGGAATTTCTCTTCCTCTGCCATCGTCGTTTTTTATCGAGCAGAACTACGCCAACAAGAACACTGATGTCACAAAAATCAATCAAGAGAGACCTTGAACTTGAAGACGAAGGACGTAGAGAAGAAACACCGAACAGTGTCGACAGGCAGAGAACTTGATCATACCTTGGAATGCAGTGACGGAGGAGATGGAAGTGCCAAGCCGTGGCGACAGGCCGAGTACTTGAAGGAAAAGGAGACGTAGAAGAAATGCCGAACGCTGGACAAAGGGAAGGTCCTGGCTCGGCCTCACGCTGTAGCGGACTGAAGCAGGACAGGAGAGGCGGAGCGCGAACCAGGGTTTGGGAGAAGCGGAGGAAAGGAACGGAATCGCGGATGGGGGAGAAAGGAAAAGGACGTACCCGCGTGGGTTAGGACTCAGCTTCTCTCCTTTACCTCTTTCCTCCGCTGGCCGTGCGCTGCCTAAAGTAGAAGGCCAAATGAGTGAATGATAGTTTCCAAATTGGAGAGGAGGCGCTAAGTCGTAACTGGGAAAAAAGCTAGTTATTGTAATAATAAATTAATATCTGTTATAAATAAAAAGGAAATGGAAAAGAATCATATAGTCTTTCTCATTCTATTTAAAAGTACTCAATATATTATACTCATCCGGTTCTAATTATAAGACCCAATTAACTTATTTGAGGAGATTAAGGAAGTAAGTTAAGTTGGTTATTTATAATAAATAAGTGTTGTCATTCCTAAAATATCCTTACTAATTAAGTATATTGGCTAAAACTATCATTATTAGAAGGATTATCTTGGAAAAAAATACATAAATATAAGAGACAAAATGGATTGGAGTCTTATAATTAGGACCAAATAAAAAGTCAAATGGGGTCTTACAATAAAGACCGGAGGAGTACATGGTTTCTATTTATAGACACAACTTTACACCTTTGATAGAATCTACAAATTACATAATAATAAGAGATAATTATAGAATATATAGATAATAGGAGATATTGAAGATTATGGGAGATATAAAAAATAATAGGAGATATATAGACATCCACAAAAATATTATTATATTCATAACAATCATTTAAAATTACTGTTGCCACTTTTTTTAATTCTTAATGATATTGTATCTTACGTTGTCTTCCTATTGTGACTTGATTTGGATTAGATTGGTCGGGTTTTTCTCGATATCGTTGTTGTTTTTTTTTTTTTTTTTAAACCTTTATAGTATCATTGTTGATCGGCAATTTGTAAAATTGTACATTGGTATACATCGAAAAAAATGTACATTGATGTATAAAATATTAACTTCATCTTTAATATAAAAATTCATTTAATTTTTATTTTGATTTTAAATATAATATCTCAAGTCGTTTTGTTTTTTATATTTATTTTTTTTTCAAAATAGTATTTATAATAATGATAGTTCTAACCAATACACTTGATTAGTAAGAATATTTTAGAAATGACTACATCTATTTATTACAAATAATTAATTTAACTAATATTTTTAATCTATTCAAATTAATCAATTAATTTTTATATTAAGGATTAGAGATAGTAATTACTAAAATTCAATAGAAACTGTTCATAATAAAAACTATAAATTATACCCACGAAGACGCGTCTGATTAAATTATGATATATAAAATATGTTTATTACTTATGGCTCTTCATTTATGTGAACATAGTCATATCTTTTTAGATTGTCTAACACAACACAAAATGATAATTTGTCTAAAAAGTTGGAGATTTATTAGAAGATAGAGTGATGGGCCAATTAAAACCAAAAAAAAAAAAAAAAAGAGGAAGACGATCTACCATATGCATGCACTAGAAGTAGACTTTTAGCGGGCTTATGTTCCAACCAGGCCTTTAAACTTTTTGACGGATTTTGACCCAAAAAGTAAGGATTCTTTTAGTTCGAGTTTGGGCCAAAACTCCAGCAATTGTATTCTTGTCTTTTATTTTAGGGACAATTAATCCGCAGCTCTTTATAGTTTCAACGGATTTTGAATCAGGTCCTTATAGTTTTTTTCTTTTTATCAGGTCCTTATGCTTTCACCTGTTTTTAATTAGGTCCTTGTATTTATTTTTCTTTTTATCAAGTCCTTATAAATTCACCTTATTTTTAATTAAGTCCCTGAATTTTTTATTCTTTATTTTATAAATTCTAATAGTACTATTATATAAACATAAAATAGTATATATTATTTAATATTAGTTTATAAACAATAATATTCTAAAGATATTGAATTATTATAATGATTTTAATTTTTTCAGAAAAAAATTAATTGTTCTAAAAAATTTCCTGAATTAATTAATTCTATTACTTTTTTATTACATAATTATTAATTTAATTTAATTATTAATATTTTATATTTCAGTATTAATCTATTTAATTAAGCTTATATTTAATTAATAAATAAAAATTAAAACTACATGGACTTGATTAAAAATTTAGTGAAATTATAAGGACTTAATTAAAAGAAAAATAAATACAAGGACCTAATTAAAAAAATGTAAAAGTATAAGGACCTGATAAAAAGAAAAAAAACTATAGGGACCTGATTCAAAATCAGTTGAAACTATAAGGACTTGCAGATTAATTAACCCTTTATTTTAATGGGATCCTTCCCAATGTTGGTAACTTACAAGCCAGATTTTAGCTTCTTTATTTTTTGGGCCATAATATTCAACAATAAAGTGCTGGCCCAAAAAAAAGCGTTAATGATCCTATTTAAAGTTTTAAAATGATTGTAAGTATTTTTGTAATTCATCAATATCTTTAATATTTATATGTGTTCTTGGACATTTTGCATTACTCATTCACGTTGGTTAATTTGACTTCCTCTCCAGTGTCCATCATCTTTATCCCAATTCCAGAGATTTGAGGTCCACATGGGCTTATAGTTCTTCGTTTTATGTAAAATAAAACGAAATGATAAATAAAATAAAGAATAATTTTATACACAGAAATAATAATTATATTTCTTAATAAAACATGTTTACTACCAGATGATGAAACAATGTTATAATCATTATCATCCATAAATAAATTAAAATAGAGTAACATAGAATCAAAGGTGAATTAAATTATTATTTATTCACAGCTTGTGTGGCTTTTTTATTATTATTTAATCATCTAATAATAATTAGCAATATATACATATCTATTTTAAATTTTTGGTAAAAAAAATCTCTCGGTTTTACCCATCCTTAATATAAGAACTAGTTGAAGATTGAATTTAATTCTAAATATGAGACCTTAATCCATTTTATCTCTTAAACTTATAATATTTTCTCTAAAATACTCTTATTAATTGTAAGGTGTTCTCACTAAAGGATATTTTTAATGCATATGATTAAATATGATAGCTAGTTTAGGGAAAGCAACATAAATTGTTAAAATGAACCAGTCCAAGAGGCAACGGAGACTCATGCAGAAAGGGAACCACGTCGCAGTACACGTGAAAGGAGACTCACATGGAAATTTAGGGAGGACTGACGACTATAAACCGTTAGAGGAAAGAGAGTGAGGGTGTGAAATATGTAATGATTCTCTGATTCTCCTTCCTGTACCTCTCGTCCTCTCTGAGCTTTCTTTCCCTCCCTTCCCTGGTTATATTCCTCTTCTGTTGCTTTACGTTACTTTTGGCTATCAGTTTGTGATTTGGATACTGTATTGTGTCAAAACGTCATGCTCCTCCGGTCCTTATTATAAGACCCCATTTAACTTTTTATTTGGTTCTAATTATAAGACCCAAATCCATTTTATCTCTTATATTTATGCATTTTTTTCCAAGATAATCCTTCTAATAATGATAGTTTTAACCAATATACTTAATTAGCAAGGATATTTTAGGAATGACAACACTTATTTATTATAAATAACCAACTTAACTTACTTTCTTAATCTCCTCAAATAAGTCAATTGGGTCTTATAATTAGGACCGGAGGAGTATATATATATACACACACACAGATAAATCCAGATTTCCATATTTACTTCTCTGCGCTACTATATACATTCATACGAACATTCCACAAGGGTTCCGAAAGAACGTAAAATCCTGCCCACATTTGCATTTCATATTCTTGGAAGTGCTCACCAGAGAACCACCTTCTCCAAAAAGACAACGTTTACAAGCAAATACGACTGGATAAAGCAAATACGTTGGGCACCAAACCACCGTTATGTAATTATTTATTCAGTCAGAAGCCATCACACTTCTTCAAAACAAAACAACAAGGTAGAAGTACGAAAGAGAATCAGGAAATCGAAGCACTAGTCACGTAGCTCGTAGGCTTCCATTTCGCCAACAGTTATTTTTTTTTTGCTTTGCGTCTTTGTTTCCCCTTCTTCTTAACATTATTTGATAAAAATTCTTGCAGGCCAATTGTCAAAGCTGATGTTGAAACCATGGAAGCTTTAAGGATGCTCATAACCTGCATTTGTATGCATGAGTCTGATGCAAAAGGCAAAAGAAAATTGCAGCAAGCATGCTAATAAATCTGATCACATTCAAGGGAAAACAAACCCAAACCATATAACTTCTTGTTTTTTGGTTTCAAACAAAATTTGCATGTCCTTTAATTTGTCTGTTTAAAGGTTAGAAGATACGTACCTCTTGTACCCCAATGGAGATTGTTCTTTCTTCCAAGTCATGGTAAGGCACCTTGAATTCAGTCAAAGGTGATAAAACATCATGACATGATAAAGGTTTCACAGACAAGTCATCAGCAACCATGAACTTGGTTCCACTCTTTGCATATCCACTGCCTGATTTGTCCTCTGTTACTGGAGACTTAGGGTCGCACATTCTTACTCTTCTCACACCACGGACATACAAACTAGTATCGGCAGTCAAATAATATGGACCAACAGCGTAGTCGTTAGAACAACAATTTAACCGAGACGGACACTTTAGTTCATCAATCGGTAACATCTGGTTATTAACATTAAAGAATGGGGCTATCATGAGGTTGGCGAACACATTTTTCAACTTCTCTGACTTCAAGTC